CTGTATTTGAGTGTGATATTGCTATGTCACACAATCACATCCTCATGATTTTGTAATGAAAGATGTTGTAATAAAAACGGGGCGTTATTTGTGCCAGATCCTGTATAAAGTGTGAGGCAGAGTGTGTCATTCTAGGAGAAATGTGAAGATCAGCAGAGAAATCAAAACAGAATTCAGGTGACATCAGACTACCCTCCAGGTCTCTGGGGACACTGTTCCCATTGCCACATGTGTTTTTACATTGTTCATTAGACTGACGCCAGTTCATTAGAAACTTTTGAAACTGGGTCACCAAGGAGTTTTGTTGTTCACTCAGAAGTTCCCTGTGCACTGCTAGACTAAACATATAAAGGAAAGGTTGCTGATATAGAAATTTCAGGGAAGCCTGCCTTCTTCCCAGGAAATTCAGAGATGCCCCTCTGACAAAACTAGAGAGAAACCTTCCATATCTCTTCACCACTGCTCCCTTCCTTTGAACTAACAAAGTACCTGGGAAATCTAGTAACAGATGCCATTTTAAACTTGGCGCAGAAAGAGGAGACTGAGTCTGGGCTCATTACATCAGGAACCTTGAGAACCTAGGAGAGTTCTTTCTCAAATGTGCATACACGTGCTTGTGTGGAGGGTGAGACTGGCAGTTGAAATAGGCAGGATGTGAGAGAGGAATCAGAAGCACACACAAAACTCACAGATTGAACATTCCTTGAACTGTGGTTCCTTCAAGGGCTCCTGGTAAAGAACTGTCAGAAAAGTAAGTATGTAATTGTCACGACGCATTTTTCCAAATTCTCTCAACAAAGGCAGAGGGCAAATAAAGTGAGTTTTAAAATCTGGAATTCAGTTCATAACTGACACTGAAGGGAAGTATTCAACAATCATTCTGATACATTATTATTCTGAAGGAAAATAAAATTTGGGGCAGGGTCACTGTAGCCTTTGAAAGGGCCAGTCATAACTATGAGTTGAGGAAGCTGTTACCACTTAAGAGACAGAATAATCAAAGGTGATGGAACAGACATCACCACCCAATAATATCCACAAGTCTCATAGAAATTAAAAATATCAGCATTATAAATTACCTTACAGGCAACCTCACTTTATTCTCCATCTGCTATTTAAGTCCTTTCTGGCTTTTTTTTTTTTTTTTTGCTTTTGACAGGGAGTAAGGGTTTGGAGGCATAACATTCACTCTTCTAGGTCTCAACTATCCATTGCATGGGCAGCCAGTCCCAAATGCACACAGAATGAGGTTGGTTCCAAACATAAGTAAGGTCAAAAGGTCTCAGACATATCTGAATTAACTAAATAGGAAATCAATGAGAGAAAACAACAGCATCTCAATCACTCACCCAGCTCCCTAACTGGCAGCAAGAGTAGGTCGTTTTGCACAGGTTAAGTCCTCAGGGCCTACCTATGAACGTTAATTAAAAACACTACTTATGGGATGGAGGTAGTGAAATTTATTATTTATGTAATGAAATCATTTCAAACTTTAATTGATCCAAATTCAAAGTAAATAAATAACTCAGTCTCTCAGGGAAAGTTCTCCAGCGTGACAGAGAATGTTGCAATGATTGCTGGTAAAGGTCAGCCATGCGTGTGAAATCATTTGAATTTGTCTGAAACAGTCTCACACACACATACCCAAAGGATCTGCCGCCACAAGATCAACTGCATTCTGGAAGCAGTGCTTATTTAACAAGCTTCATGAATGGAAACATAATGTTGCTGGAAGTTCAAAGGTACTGTATCAGCCATTTTAAAACATCAATGATCATTACATAAATGTTGTTATGATTGAGTTCACCAGTTTTTCCTGTCAATACAGAAAAATAAGACTTTTGATAAGAGAAGCAGGGAATAATTTGAGATCCTGGACACTTCATAGGAGAAGGAGAGCTGGAGTTAACAAGGTCAGTAGCCAGTACAAGGCTTTAACTCTTCTTCAATGGGAGGGAGGGAAGCAACGAGGAGTACTAGGTGTGCAGAAATGAACCTGCCCTATCATTTAGTTTGGCCTATCTGAGTCTTCCCCTGACAAGCACATAGCAAGACACTATCTCTGCAAAAGTAATTTCTCCCATGAGCTAAGTGTTTCTCTGTTCTGAAATCATGTCTGTCGATTCTGAGCAAGGCACTTGCCAACTCAGCTTATGGTGACACATAATGCCAACAACTTTATAATAGAAAGAAAAGAACCTAGAGAGACTGAGTGAACATGGGAAAATATGAATGGCTGCCAACGTATTTAAGAGTGATTGCCAAGGAGAAATCATGAAGCAGTTATCCCAAGTCCAAAGTTGTATTTTCATTGTTATCAGTGTTGCGATGTCACTGAATGAGCACTAAAATGAAATATCCTTTTCCACTGGTAGTCTGAAAGCATTTTATTGTTTCTTTCTTTTTATTAAATCCATTGGGTAACATTGGTTAATATGATTTTATACATTTCAAGTGTGTCTCTATGATGCACAATCTTCATACTGCATTGTGTCTACCACCTAAAATCAAATTTTCTTCCATCACCATATATTTGACCCCTTTTACTCTGTACTCTACCCCCTTTACCCCTTCCCTGTGATAACCACCATACTGTTGTGTGTCTATGACTTTTGTTTGTTTTTCTTGTTTGTTCATTTGTTGCTTTCAGTTTTATATCCCACATATGAGTGAAATCATATGTGGGATTTCCCATGTTATAATTTTTAAATAATAGATGCCTATTAAATATTTTTGAATGAATAATTGTAGATAATTTACTTGAGCAACAGGAAAGAAGAATACCCTAATATATTTTTTATTCTCTATTCATAACTCATACAATTGGAGCAATTGTTTACACATAAGAAATTAGTTTTTCAGCCCTGGCTGGCATAGTTCAGTGGATTGAGCGTGGGCTGCAAACCAAAGTGTCGCAGGTTAGATTCCCAGTCAGGGTACATGCCTGGGTTGCAGGCCATGACCCCCAGCAACCACACATTGATGTTTCTCTCTCTATATATATATCTCTCCCTCCCTTCCCTCTCTAAAAAAATAAATAAATAAAGTTAAAAAAAAAGAAATTAGTTATTCTTCCCATGCAGAAGTATGTATTGTTTTCCTACAAACCCTTATGACTAAGTTTTCCTATTTAACATTGAATCCTCCCAATAAAACACAGAGGGTTAGGCCAATAGATTGAGTTATTATCAACTATTGATATCCCCAGTGAGAATGCATTTACCAGGTCTTCTTTTACAGATGGATACCTGGGAGTAGCTGCTTGAAATATGAATCTCGATGAGGGTAGGTTTTAACATGAAAGAGAGGGGTATTTTCCTAGCCTCTATGTAATGGGATTCCTGAGAAAATGTAAATTAGAGTACAGGGAGGCTTAAATCTCTTGGGAGCTACTGAAATGGGCAGAGATAAATATCAATGAGAAAAGTAAGGTACTTTACAATTTGTCTACAAAGATTGGTTCATGTGTGTCCACTTGTTTCTGGATGTTGTTTTTGGACATTGCTTGGGCAAGTCACTATACCAAAACCCAGAGAACACAGCTAGTTGGTAAATGAGGGGGAGAGGTGACTTGAGGAGGGGAGCAGCAGCAATTACTCAAAAAAGGCACTTGGATACATCATGAGACAGATTCTGATGGTTGAGTTCTGCAGAGCACAGGATTGACCAGGCTGCCAAAGAAAGCATACACTACAGATCAGTCCCCCAGGCACCATCCACCACCCAAAGCTCCAGAACAGGACTAAGTGCTGTTTATGTTTAGGTTCCAGAACCTTTTCTTTATATCACTTCAGAAAACCCTATGCATAAGCAGTCCCAAACCTGGCTTAGAGTACTTTTATTTGCCTAAATACAGGATGAAAAAACAAAGATATATCTTCATCTTTTAAACTCTTTATCTCCCAATTGAGAGATAATTTGAACTACAAAGAGCAGAACTAACACTTTAAAATGAATGTGCTGCTGTTAAAGTTTAGCATAACAACATAAGAGGATCAACATAAAATACTAATTAAACATTTGTCCAAACCCATAGGATGTAGAACACCAAAAGTAAACCACAACATAAGTTATGGACTTTGATTTGTCGATGCAGGTTTACAGGTTGTAACAAATGCACTGCACTGGGGGAGGCTGTTGACACTCGAGGAGGTTGTGTCTGTGTGGCCACAGGAGGGGTACAGGAACTCTCTGTGCCTTCCCCCCAGTTTTGCTGTGATCCTAATATTGCTACCAAAAATGTTTTACTTTAAAAACACAAAATTACTAGTTAACAGATCCTTCTTGGTTTTAAAATGGAACATTACAGTATGGTGTTGAAAAGTAAAGAAGAATAAGGATGGAAGGAAGAAACTTCAGAAATGACATTTCCTCCACAACAGGGACAAATAAAATTTGTACCACAGGCAATAATGTTAAGAAACTGCAAAGCAGACACATGATTTATATTTTGTTTTCTTTTTTATTTAACATCTTGGTAAATGTGCTTTCATTTTTTAAAAAGATGTTATTTTTTATTTATTTATTTATTTATTTATTTATTTATTTATTTATTTATTTATTTTTAGAGAGAAAGGAAGGGAGGGTGAAAGAGAGGGAGAGAAACATTGATGTGCTAAGAGAATCATCCATCAGTTGCCTCTCGCACACCACCAACTGGGGATCTGGCCTGCAACTCATGCATGTGCCTTGAGTGAGAATCAAACTGGTGACCTTTTGGTTCACAGGCTGACACTCAAACCACTGAGCCACACCAGCCAGGGCTATAAATGTGCTTTCTAATCAGAGAATTATAAGCACTAGAGCTGTATTAGATATTTCCAATAAATGTCTCCTAGTAAGATATCAAAGGCACACATTAACAAATTGGTTATTAAGCAAAAGAAGAAAGTGCATGTGAGCTCCCTTGCTGGGTGTATTTTCACTTGGGTTTCAGTGCTAGCTTCTTATGACACTTCTTTCTTCAGGCGGAATTATACTTGACTTGGCACAAGGGAGTGATGAGAAATCATACAGCAATAACAACATTCATCCTGCTGGGATTGACAGATGACCCAAAACTACAACTTCTGCTTTTTGTATTTTTGTTTCTCACTTACATGTTGAGTGTAGCTGGGAACCTCATCATCATTACCCTGACACTTTTGGATTCCCATCTTAAAACTCCCATGTATTTTTTCCTCCGAAATTTCTCTTTCTTAGAAGTTTCATTCACCACTGTCTGTATTCCCAGATTCCTGTATACTCTCCTAACCGGAGATAATACTGTTACCTATAATGCTTGTGCCACCCAGTTATTTTTTGTTGTCCTCTTTGCAGCAACAGAATTTTTTCTTCTTGCAGCCATGTCCTATGACCGCTACGTGGCCATTTGTAAGCCCCTGCACTACACAACCATCATGAGCGACAAAGTCTGCTCTACACTTGTTCTCAGCTGTTGGCTTGCTGGCCTGTTGATTATCCTCCCACCTCTAAGCATGGGCCTCCAGCTGGAATTCTGTGATTCAAATGTGATTGACCATTTTGGCTGTGATGCATCTCCTATTTTACAAATAACCTGTTCAGACACAGTGTTAATAGAAAGAGTTGTGCTGAGTTTTGCTGTGCTGACGCTCATTATTACCTTAGTGTGTGTAGTTCTTTCCTACACATACATTGCCAAGACCATTCTAAGATTCCCTTCTGCCCAACAAAGGAAAAAAGCCTTTTCTACCTGCTCTTCTCATATGATTGTGGTTTCCATCACCTATGGCAGCTGCATCTTCATCTATATCAAACCTTCAGCAAAGGAAGGAGTGGCCATTAATAAAGTGGTGTCTGTGCTCACTACTTCAGTTGCCCCCTTGCTTAATCCATTCATTTATACACTTCGAAACAAACAAGTGAAAGATGCCTTCAAAGACACAGTAAAATGGATTGTATTTCTCACAAAGAAGTAAGAAACAATTGACGTTTTTAGAAGTTATTAAATTTAAATCTAACTCATGAGTGACATTTATGAATTTGACAAATAAATGGTTCCTTCCTTTTCTATAGATTCCTTAATCTATTCTGCCCCCAGGAACATTTGTCCCTTATAATCCAAAAGCTGAAAATCAAGCTATTTTTTGTTTCTTTTAAGTTTATTTTATTCAGAATGGTTTCTTCAATAAATGTATGTTCCAGAGGCTAGATTCCCAAAATGCTCAATGTCATAAAAAGAAAATGCAAATAAATACATTTGTATCACTGACCATACAGCCTTCTCATGATGTGGAATATATATGTCCAGAGACTATTTCTCACTTGCTGAGAATACTTCAATATATAGCCTTTGACTATACAAAAGTAATCTGAGGTTCTTTATTAATGCATAAGCAGTGATCTAAAAGAAAGTTGTCCACTCCAGAGCTCTTCTTCTCATTTTTAAATGTTCATTTTTCTTCTGGTCAAGATGGAAGCATAGGTAAACACAGCTCGCCTTCTCACACATCCACAGCAACAGTTACAACTAAACTACAAAACAACTATCACCCAGAACTGTCAGAAATATGAGCTGTGTGGAAGTCCAACAACCAAGGAATTAAATAATTCACATTCATCTAGATGGGTAGAAGGGGTCAAAACACAAAACAGCATCCCATGCCCACATATGGGAGATAAGAATCAGGAGAGATACCTCAGGAGTGAGGGATCCCAGCCCCACACCAGACCACCCAGTCCAGGCTTCCGGTGCCAGGAAGATAAGTCCCTATAACTTCTGGCTGTAAAAACCAGTGGGGGGCGGGGCATGGCAGAAGAAACTGGGATTCTCAGGCATCTCCTCAGAAAGGGCCCAAAACTGACTTAGGACTTACACAGACTCACTCCCTCTGGGCTCAAGCACCAGGGCAGCAGCTGGAAGGGCACCAGTGGCATACTGGAAATACCTGTAGTGGCTGGCATCAGGCAAGTACCAGGGAATAGCTTCCTCCTAAAGAAAACTCCAGAGGTCAGGCAGCAGCCATTGCCCCTTCTCTGAGCCTTCCCCCACACAGAGCCACAGAGCTGCAACACAACATCTGAGATTCCATCAACCTGGTTCACACGGGTTGCCATGCCCTGTCAATTACCTAACACCCCACCAGATCCATCTTACAGGTGCACTTTTCTACAATAGGCCATGCTACTAAGGCAAGGAGTCAAAGCAGTTCTACCTAATACATAGAAACAAATACAGGGAAGCTGCCAAAATGAGGAGACAAAGAAATATGGTCCAAATGAAAGAACAGAACAAATCTCCAGAAAAACAATGAAACAAAATGGGATAACCAACCTATCAGATGCACAGTTCAAAACACTGGTTATTAGGGTGCTCATGGAATTCACTGGGTACTTCAACAACATAAAAAGACCCAGGCAGAAATGAAGGTTACACTAAGTGAAATAAAGAAAAATTTACAGGGAATCAACAGTGCAATGGATGAAGCCAAGAATCAAATCAATGATTTGGAACATAAGAATATAAAAAACAATTAATCAGAACAGCAAAAAGAAAAGAAAATTAAAAAAAAAAACAAGGATAGCTAAGGAGCTTCAAGGACAACTTCAAACTTACTAACATTCTAATCATAGGGTTCCAGAAGAAGAAGAGAAAGAGCAAGAAATTGAAAAGTTATTTGAAAAAAATAGTGAAAGAAAACTTCCCTAATTTGGGGAAGGTGATAGACATGCAAGCCCAGGAAACACAGAGAGTCCTAAACAAGTTGAACACAAAGGGGACCCCACCAAGACACATCATAATTAAAATGCCAAAGGTTACAGATAAAGAAAGAATCTTAAAAGCATCTAGAGAAAAGGAGAGAGTAACCTACAAAGGTGTTCCAACAAGACTGTCAGCTGATTTTTCAAAAGAAACTGCAGGCTAGAAGGAACTAGCAAGAGATATTCAAAGTGATGAAAAGCAAGGACCAACAACATAGATGAAGTGCTTCCCAGACAAAGTAAAACTAAAGGAGTTCCTCATCACCACGCCATTATTATATGAAACGTTATAGAGACTTATTTAAGGAAAGGAAGATCAAAATCATGAACATTAAAATGGCTATAAATTCACAACCATTGACAATCAAATTTTTTAAAAAAACTAAGCAAACAAGCAGAACAGAAACAGAATCCTAGGCATGGAGATCATTTAGAGGGTTAATGGTTAGGAGGGGGAAGAGGGAGAATGGGGGAAAAGGTGCAGGGATCAAGAAGTACAAATTGTAGGTACAGAATAGACAGGGGTATGTTAAAAAGAGTATCAGAAATTGAGTAACCAAAGAACTTGTATGCATTACCCATGGATACGAACTAAGCAGGGTGATTGCTGGAGGGAATGAGAGGTACCACGTGGAGGGGAACAAAGGGGGCAAAATTTGTACAATTTTAATAGCATCATCAATACAATGTATTAAAAAATAGGTAAAATGTCCATTTTCGAGGAATGAGAATTTCCTCCCAGAGCAATTTCAAAATCAGTGGAAATAATTATATTCTTTGTTTTGAGCCAGTTTACCTACAAAAAATGTTTTTACTGGCCTTTCTGGAAGTGCACCACCTCCAGAAATATGAGAAATAAAGATTTCCAAGTGTGGGATGTTATCTACCCACATTGCCTTTGATGGTGCTTACTAACAGACTCAAGGATAAGTCTGAATGTAGGGATAGGATAACTAAATCCTGGTTAAATAAGTTTTCCAATACTCAGACTTGCATTATCCTTTGATTTAAGAAGATTAAAGATTAGAAGAATTGATCAAAATTTTTAAAAGTTCATAATTTGGAAAGGATATTCTAAGAGGCATTTGCTTAGCATAGACTGACTACTGAAGATAAAATCCAAGTACAATGTGAAAAAAATGATAGACTGAGAAAGAGGGAGAGAGATGGAGAAACAAATAACAGTCATATAGGGACCTTGGACCAAATAATGAAATTCTTGCCATTAAATAGTAAAAAAGTCATTTTATTGTTTTCAGGCTCTATAATTGTGAAAAGTAAAAATTTGTGCATTTATAATACATATACAACTATTACCTACATTTATTAAACACCATCTAGTCTCTGGATTGTACCTTTTATTTTGATCATATTTATAATTGTTCATACAAGGTAATAGTGTGAGTAGAAGATTATTTTATACTTCAAAGTATTCAGGGCAAATAGAATTCTATTCTCCAAGGCCTCTCTTCTTTTTCATCTAAAATTTCTAAACCTCTAGAAACCATACTGATGTAAATAAATTATTGAATGAATTAATAAATGAAGGAGAGGAGATAGATCTCCTATGCAAAAATATTCTAAATAATTTATGTAGATACTCCATCTAAGAGGAAGGAGAAACTTTACAGAGGAGAAACTACAAACACCATGTCAGTCAGGTAATCAAGGTCAACATCAACAGCCCATAAGCCATGTTGATAGCATGTATCCCTGACATGGTATAATGAAAATGCCAGTTTGCCTCTGTGGTCTTCTTCCAATAGCATCAGACAACTTTCAGTGGAACATCCTATAAAATGCCTGACCAATACTGCTCAAAACTATCAAGGTCTTCAAACATAAGGAAAAGTCTGAGAAAAGTGTCACAATCAAGAGGAGTCTAAGGATACATGACAACTGAATGCAATGTGGAATCTAATGGATGAAATGAACTGATGAACAAAATAAAAACAGAGGAATGATACATGGAACAGACTGACAGCTGCCAGAGGGCATTAGGGAACTGCATGAAAGGAAGTGAACAGATTAAGCAAAACAACATACAGACAAAACATAGACACAGACAACAGTATCGTGATAGCCAGAGGGACAGGGAAGAGGGAGTGGTAATGTGGTATCCTACATGAGATCATGGAATAGGGGAAGGTATTAGGTGAAAACTAAGGAAATCTGAATAAACTATGACCTTCATTTAATAATAATGATTCAGGTTTTGATCATTAATTGCAACAAATGCATCATACTAAGTAAGATTAACAGGGGAAACTGGTACACAGGAACAATTTGTATCATCTCAATTTTTCTTTAAATCTAAAACTGTTCTCAGAAAAATAAAGTCTATTAAAAGTAAAGACAATTGTCAAGTTAGATGACAACTGTTTCTTTATTCTGAGAAAAATCAATGGCTACTTAAATGATGGATTTCAAAGGAAATGTAAAGATCTCTTTTGCAGCCTACTCAATGCAAGGATGCCATTCAAACCTATTGTCCCATCTCTCAGTTTTCTCCTTAACCTGCTGATGACCTGTGTTTGATGTTTCCACTGCATGTTCCTCACCACTCTCTCTGGGGACTTCTGCTAAACACCTATTTAACTTCTGTTCTTTAAGGCAACAAAGGGTCTTTATCAGTCTCTGGAACCAGGACCCCTAGGGAATGCATTGTTTGTCAGCTCAATTGATCCCAAAGAGAGAGGATCTGAAGAGAGAAAACAATTTGTTCCTTTGAATGTTTAAAAACTTCCAAAATGCTAATGTGTCTTTTGCTGAGGTAATCATTTCTCCTAGGAATAGAAAGAGCTCTAAAACTTCTCTGCCCTTCCACATATGTTGGTTCAGAATTTAATAAGTATTTGAATAGGTGTTTAGCATTTAGCTATGCAGTATAGAAAATGCAACAAAGCTGATCTGTCCCAGATCAACAATACAAGATATAAAATATACAACCATGGAAAATTAACAATACAAGAAACTGCACAGAGCAACATATATTGAAGTGCCACATGAATGACACAGATCATGTGTACTTTCAGTACAGAAGGGAGATCTGTGTTCAAGTGAAATAATAGGAGCATTTTTGGTATTTGCTGTGTACCAGGCAGGCATTGTTCTAAGTACTATGTATGGTAATAATAAATCTATTAAAACCCTATATGTTGTATATTACTATCATCAACATATTTTTATAATTAATAACATGGTACCACTATCATTT